TTGTTGCTGTCACTACTGAAGAACACTTGTTGTTGATGCCCCCCTCCAGGGAACATCGTATGTTTGTTTCATTTGAAGTGCTTCCCGGGGCTCGCACCCTGTTCTTTATCAGGGAAGATCGCTGGGCTCAAACTGCCCCCCCCCCGTTTTACGACAACAGCGGTTCCCGCCTGATATTTCCTCACAATGTATTCCCAAGTCGAGCTCTCTCGCGGGACTTCTTCACAATTCATGTGCGCATCGCGCTCTCGCGTGGGCCTTCCACGCAATTTATTCAGACGATGCGCCCTCGGCGCTCAGGAATCACGCTCTCGCTCTGGCTATTCTCACGGTTTACTTGGGAATCGCGCTGTTGTTCGATAATTTCTCGTGATTCATGCGTGGCCCACGCTTCAGCAACCCGCCTGCTCGACCTGGTCGCCTGGGCCCACCTTCCCGACCTGCCCGCTATGGGTCTGCCCACCCGATCTGCCCGTCTGGTTATACCACTTGTTTTCTGTGTCTTGCCCTCCTATTTTTTTTTCTCGTGCTCCATTCATCTCCCTCCCCCTTCCACCCGTCCTCTCTTCTCGCTGTCCTTCGTGGGCCCGTTGCAGCCCTTCGTGGCCCCCTCGCTAGCCTTCGTGGACCCGTTGTAGCCCTTCGTGGCCCACTCGCTACCCTTCGTGGACCCGTTGCAGCCCTCCGTGGCCCCCTTGCTGCCCTGCGCGGCCCCGTTGCAGCCCTTCGTGGCCCCCTCGCTGCCCTTCGCGGCCCCGTTGTCGCCCTTCGTGGCCCCCTCGCTGCCCTTCGCGGCCCCGTTGCAGCCCTCCGTGGCCCCCTCGCTGTCCTTCGTGGGCCCGTTGCAGCCCTTCCTCGCTGCCCTTCGCGGCCCCGTTGCAGCCCTTCGTGGCCCCCTCGCTGTCCTTCGTGGCCCCGTTGCAGCCCTTCGTGGCCCCCTCGCTGCCCTTCGCGGCCCCGTTGCAGCCGTTCGTGGCCCCCTCGCTGCCCTTCGTGGCCCCCCCCCCCCCCCCCACACATATATATATATAGATATATATATATTTATATGTATAATATATATATATATATGTACGTGTATATGTTTATATGCCCTTCGTGGCCCCCGCTCGTTCGCGCCCGTGCCCGTCCTGGCCCCATATGCATGCGCTTCGTGGCCCCGCTGTCGCCCTTCGTGGCCCCCTCGCTGCCCTCAGTGGCCCCGTCCTTGCCCTCTGCGGCCCAATATACGTATGCCCTTCGTGACCCTCGCTCGTTCGCGCTCGTCGTGACCCCATCTGCATGCCCTTCGTGGCCCCGCTGTCGCCTTTTGTGGCCCCCTCGCTGTCCTACGTGGCCACGTTGCTACACTGTGTGGCCCCGTCGTTGCCCCCTGTGGCCCCGCATTATCTGCCCTTCGTGGCCCCCGCTCGTTCTCGCCCGTCGTGGTCCCATACGCATGCCCTCCTTGGCTCCGCTGTCGCCCTTCGTAACCCCCTGCCTCCCCTTCGTGGCCCCGCTGTCGCTCTCGCGCTCGCTCTCGCTTTCGCTCGTCGTCGTCGTCGTCGCCGTCGGTGTCGTCGTCGTCGTCGTCGTCGTCGTCGTCGTCGTCGTCGTCGTGGCCGCTCCCCTGCCCGTCCCTTTTGGGGTCGGGTTGCCGCCGATCAGCGCTGCCGCTGGCTAGGCCGACGGTTCGCGGCAGCTCCGCCGCGTGCCGGGGCCCGGCCTGCAGATACACCCCAAAGGGGCACGATCGTAGACGAAGAGGGCGTGCATCGAGGGTTTGGGGAATACACTTTGAATGACACCCGAGCAGATAAGAGCGAACAGTCTTAAACTGATTA